GCTGGGTGCTTATGCGGGAGACAGATTAGCATAAAAGGCATGGAACTATGTACAGAGTTTCCCTACGGCGGTGACTAACAGGATGAGGTGACACGTGAGCACAGTGCTTTGTCCACAGAGCTAGGAGACTAGTTCCCATGGCTTACTGGCAGGAGCTTTAGTGTTCGTTAGGACTTGGTACTGGACCCGGGACAACGGTGAGATGGCTAAATCCTCCCCTTGCAAGCTGCATCCTCCCCCATGGGTGCCGGTTTGTGTCTTGCGTACTCCACTTCCCTTCCAGCTCCCTGCTTATGACCTGGGAAAACAGTGGAGGATGGCCCAAAGCCTTGGGACCCTGCACCTACACAGGAGACCCAGAAGAAGCTCCTAGATCCTGGGTTAGGATCAGCTCAGCTCCGGCTATTGTGGCCATTTGAGGAATGAGCCAGCAGATGGAAGATCATTGTTTCTCTTTCTCTCTTCATAAATATGATCTACCTTACCAATAAAAATAAATAAATCTCTAAGGAAAAAAAAAAAGGGACTTGGTGCTGTTCCTTTACGTCTGTAAGGCAAACTGTCTTAAAGAATACTATCTGCAGGCCTGGTGCGGTAGCCTAGTGGCTAAAGTCCTTGCCTTTATGCACTGGGATCCCGTATGGATGCCAGTTAATGTCCCAGCAGCCTGCTTCCCATCCAGCTCCCTGCTTGTGGCCTGGGAAAGCAACAGAGGATGGCCCGAAGCCTTGGGACCCTGTACCTCATGGGAGACTCAGAAGAGGCTCGTGGCTCCTGGCTTTGGATCAGCTCAACTCTGGCTGTTGATTCATTTGATTCACTTGGGGAGTGAATCAGTGGATGGAAGATCTTCCTCTCTGTCCTCTTCTCTGTATATCTGACTTTCCAATAAAAATAAATAAATCCTAAAAACAAAAAAATGAACACTACTTGCCAACTCTCACAAATCCTATCTCGGGCAGAATTCTTTAACCACCCACTGGTCCATAAGAGATCGCGTCATGATTCTGAGGCAGGCCTAATTCACTCCGGTGGACAGTGCCCATCTGACGTTAGAGTGCATCTTGGTAGGCACGTGAGAGGTGGGTATGTTTGTGTTTATGGCAGCCTCCATGGTTTAGATGCACTAGTTACCCTAGCTGATAGCTTCTCATCTATGAAAGGAGCCCCTTCAAAGTCCCTCCTACCACTAAAGTGCTCTAATTCTAACGTAGGGCTTTATAGAATGCTTAGCTTTGTTGCTGAAGAGGAGAGTACATTTAAGGGAAATTGAACCCTTCATATCGTTTGTCTCCCGGGAGTTTATAACGATGAAAGAAATGAGACGTGTGCATGGCGCCGTGCTGAGACCCTGCTTGGGACACCCGCGTCCCAGAGCGGAGTGTTGGTCCACGCCCAGTTCTGCTCCTGAGCTGAGCTTCCTCACACGCCACGGGAGGCAGCGGCTGACGGCTCTGGGATTCGGGCTCCTGGTACCATATCGGAGACCCAGCCTGGACTGTGAGCTCCTGGCCAGTCCTGGCCAGTCTTGGAATGTGACCCAGAGGTTGGAAGATAGATCTCTCTCTCTCTCTCTCCCTTTCTCTCTTTCTTTATTTTTCCAATAAATTTAAAAAATAAATGAATAAGTACACTTGAATAAATAAATTTGAAAGGGATAAAGACACATGAATTACCTATAATTGGAAATTATTTACAAGGCTTAAGAATTTCAAAGAGTGGAGTATTCAGGGGATCTGGGAATGAAACGGGAATATTTTAAGGAGGGCTTGGTCAGGAAGGACTTCGCCCCAGCCAAGCTCCATTGAGGATTTGGGTGTTCGGAACAAATTAATATATACAACAGACTGAGGTTCCCTTATCCAAGACTGTTCATTTCACCACCAGAAGTGGTTTGAATTTCTATTCTTTTCAGATTTTAGAGTATTTGCATATGCATATATATTTAATGAGCTCTCTTGTATAAACACAAAATTAAAGCATGGGAGGTTTTTCCAATTAAGGAACAGTCACTGCTTTCTGACTGATCAGATTACAGCAATATTATGATTCATACCACTGTTATAAATACCTCTGATCATGGTGACAAACATAGATTTAGGTTCTGCAGGTGCAAAGAGTTCGCCAATTTTTCTTGCTACCCTTGGCGATTGAAACCTCAGCTCTGTCCATCTGTCTGCATTCCTTGTCCGAGTGCGTAGCTTTTCCATAGATGAGCTTCCCTCTCACTTTGAAAATATTTCGTGTGCAAGGTCCTTTCTCAAATGCTTGACCTTCAGTTCTGCAAGGTCTTGCCTTTTTCTTGAGGGTCTTAGGCACAGGAGAAACTCGTCTTTTTCTCTTTACCTCCCTCCATGGTTCCATCTGGGAAAAAGCCATCTATGTGTCACAAACCCCTAAGACACATGTTCTGAAGGCAGTTTCATATAATACTTTTAAACAATTCCTACATGAAACAAAATGTGTGATGTAAAATTTTCTGCTTGTGGCATCACATCAGCCCTCAAAAACTTTCAGATTTGGGGGCATTTTAGATTTTTACATTTTCAGATTAGAAATACTCAATTTGAACCCATACAGATAGATAAGAAATACTTATCTCTAAACGCGGAACATCTATACATTTGCAATTGTTGGTGTCAATATGTCTCTGATTCACAAATTTACACAAGAAGATGCAATTGGCAACTCAAGAATGGAACGTCCCACAGCATGAATGAAACAGCCTACAGTAAAGCAGTGCAGTGGTTATAAGGAACACCCAGCCCTGGGAGTGGGGGGTTAGCCGAGTGGTGGAGATGCCCATGTGTCAGAGGTCACCTGTGGAGTGCTGGTCGGAGTGAAGTTTCCTGACTCTGACCCCTGACTCCAACTTCCTGCTTGTTCAGATGCTGGGAAGGCAGCAGTAGTGGCTCAAATGACTGCCTTCCCGCCGCACACAGGGCAGAGGTGAACTGTGCTCTGGCTCAGGTTCTGGTCTACCCTGGCCATTGTGGCATTTGCCAAGTGAGCCAGCAGATAGGGGCCCACTCTCTCTCTGCCTGTCAAAAAAGGAAAAAAGGCAGGAAGGAGGAGGAAGGATGAAGGAAGGAAGGAAGGCAGGCAGGCAAAGAAAGAGACAAAGATTTCGTCTGAGATGCTTTCTGCCAAGAATGTTTTTTGTCTCTGCCACCTCTTGTCTCAACTCCAACCCTTACGGGGCTACTGCTTCAGGCAGGACTTTGGTGCTCACACACTCAGCCACCTCGTCAATTGCAGCACCCTCTGTTTAGAGTCCTGGGCCCTTTTTCAGAAGACAGGGATGCATTTTGCAAGACATGGTTGATATCTCTGTCTTCAGTGCTACCAATGGAAGTGGGAAGGTGGGACAACAGAGAAAGTGCTGATTTCAAAATCCGTGCCACAAAACTTGGGTCTGGAAAACAGACAAGGCATGTATTTGCTGGCTGACCCAGAGAAGCAAGACTTGGCCAAAACACAGAGGACTGGGCAGTGCCCGGCTGAGCCCCATCAGTGGGTGAATAAAGCAACACACAATATGACATCCATCAGCCCCGAGGAAGGCTGAAGCAGCCCTCCACGCTGGTGCACAGTCCATGGCCGCGGAAGAAGCAGGCGTGTGTGATAAACCGTAGACCGCAGTTACTTCTAGCTGAAAGGATTGTGTGTGTGATACATTTCTGTATGATTGTAATTTTATTGAGCATGTATTGCCTTCACTAACTTTTCAAAAAGATTTATTTTTTATTTGAAAGATAGATTTACAGAGAGAAGGAGAGATAGAGAAAGAAAGAGATCTTGCATCTGCTGATTCACTCCCCAAATGGCCACAGTGGCTGGAGCTGAGCCAATCCGAAGCCAGGAGTTTCCTTGGGGCCTGCTGTGTAGCCACAGCGGCCCAAGAACTTAGACAAACCTCTGCTGCTTTCCAAGGCCATAAGCAGGGTGCTAGATGGGAAGCGGGCCAGGCAGTGAACTAGCACCTGTAGGGGATGCCAGTGCTAGTAGGTAGAGGATTAACCTATTGAGCCACAGTGCTGGCCCTACCTTTACTAAAAATTTAAGAAATTTTTTTGAAAAAGGTTCTACTCCTGTTTGTTTGTTTTTTTTTTACAGAGATGAAATGCATGTTATTTGTCATCTTAACTGTTGAAAAATACAAATTAGTGGCATTAAATATATTCAAACTATTACCACTATCTATACTTAAAGCTTTTTCATAATCCCCAATAGAAACCCTGCATGCATTAAATAAGCCCCATTTCTTAACTCTATTCAAGGTCCTTCATTTAAATGGAATTCTATTTATCCTTTCCAAGGTACACCTGTTTTCTAGAATATATCAAAATTGTATTCTTTTTAATGCTAAAACAACGTCCTATTACATGCAAATGCCACATTTTGCTTATCTATTCACTTGTTGGTGGAAGCTTGAATCATTTCTACTTTGAACATATTGTAAAAACGCTGTAATGAATATCTGTGTATAAACCATCTACTTACGTCTCTGTTTTCAGTTCTTCTGCATTTATTTCTGTGGGTGACAATACTGTGTCCTACAATAGTACTGTGTTGAACTTGTGAAGAAACAGCAGGGTCAGGCACCGTGGCATGGAGGGCTGAACCTCTGCCTGTGGTGCTGGCATCCCATATGGGCACGGTTTGAGATCTGGTTGCTCCATTTCCCATCTAGCTCCCTGCTCACGTGCCTGGGTAAGCAGTAGAGTATGGTCCAAGGTCTTGGGCCCCTGCAGCCACTGGGGAGACCTGGTGGAAGAGCTTGGTTCCTGGCTTCTGACCAGCCCAGCTTCAGCTATTGTGGCCATTTGGAGAGTGAACCAGCAGCTGTTTCTCCTTCTCTCTCTCTTTTTTAATTGATTACATTGCATTATGTGACACAGTTTTACAGGCACTGGGATTCCCCCCCGCCCCCACCCCCCATGGTGAATTTCTCCACCTTGTTGCATTACCACAGTTCAAATTCAGTTGAGATTCTTTCAAAAAATATGGAACATGTCACGAATTTGCGTGTCATCCTTGCGCAGGGGCCATGCTAATCTTCTCTGCATCATTCAAATTTTAGTATATGTGCTGTCAAAGCAAGCACCTCCTTCTCTTTTTATAATCTGCCTTTCAGATAAACAAATTTTTAAACACAGAGAGAGAGAAACAAAAAACCAACAAAACAAAGCAACTAAGATATTTTCTACAATGACTACAGCGTTACACATTCCCTCCCACCGTTTGCAAGGTCCTAGCATTTCCATATGCCAGTAAACACCTTTTTCAGGCTGTAGCCCTGTGATTGAGTGACACGTGACTAACCTGTGGCCCTCCTACCACCTGCAGTCCATGCCTGATTGACCACGCCTTTCTCAGCCCTGAAGCCCAGAGGCTCATTCATGTCCCTTGCACATTTCATGAACTGCCTCTTTCACCATCACTGTTCATATTTTGACGCTTTCCTGCCAGGTTTTCTGCATGTGTCTCTCTGTCTATCCCTCCCTGGGCATATGGATCTACATACAGTTTGATAAGCTGCTCTTCTGCTTCAGAGATCAGTTTTTTCTCCTGCTAGTGTAAGGTAATCAGAAATGTAATTCATTTTCAGCAAATGAAAGAATGACACAGGCCCGGCGTGGTAGCCTAACGGCTAAAGTCCTCACCTTGCATCTGGCCAGAATCCCATATTGGTATCGGTTCTAATCCTGGCTGCACCACTTCTGATCCAGCTCTCTTCTTATGGCCTGGGAAAGCAGAGGAGGATGACCTGAGTCCTTGGGACCCTGCACCTGCATGGAAGATCCAGAAGAGGCTCCTGGCTCTTGGCTTTGGATTGGCTCAGTTCTGGCTATTGTGTCCCCTTGGCGAGTGAACCAGCACACAGATCTTTTTCTCTGCCTTTCCTTCTGTCTGTAAGTCTGCCTGTCCAGAAAGGTAAAATACATAAATTCAACTTTTAAAAAAAAGCAATGCATGCTTAGTGCAACAATGGAAATGGTACAAGCGCATATGAGTAAAAGACAAGTATCCCTTCGGCCTTTTCTCCCATCCCCTGCCCCCAGCGCTCCCAGCACTAACACCTGCTATACACTGACCTGCTTTCCCTGGCCCATTCGAACAGATGCATATGCACATTTATATGCAGACAGACTATTTTTTTCTTCTGGCTTGTTTTTACCCAAACATAATTAAAGTAAATGTATCCATCTACAATACTTCTTTTGATCATCTCCCTCTGGACAACCTGTTGGAAACATCCCTAGCAACTTGAGAGATACGACTCAGCTATATATTTTTTTCTTTCCTAATTTTTCTCTTTCTGTGTGTGTGAGTGTGTGTGTGTGTGTCCCCTCGGTCGTACCACTGTCATTTGCAGTCAGTCTCTGCTCTGCCCCCTGGTTAGCAGACCTCCTTATGATTCTGGATATTGAAATAAAGCGGTTTTATTTCCATGAAGATCAAGGACCTACGGTCCAAAGCTTCTTCCCGGAGAACAGCACAGGATATCTGTCAGGTGGCTCATTGGCTCCATCTCCCATTTCCTGAGCTTTGAAAGCCACAGTCTTTGAGGGCTGAAGCTCATGGATTAAGCCCAGTCATGTCACAAAACCCCTTTCTTCCTGTGTGTTGGGCACCAGTATCAGCTGAAAATATCAGCTTCCTGATGAGCTAGATAGGGGACACAGTTGAGAACCAAGGTCACAAGGCACCTTGCTCGGTCTGCCCATCCAGATCTGAGCTGGGTAGTCTCAGTGCATTGCGTCAGGGTGTGGGGGAGCTCAGGTGGCTGTGCCGAAGAACCACGCAGCTGGCCGAGTGCTTCTGAGATGGGGGCTCCACGTGGGCACCTGCTTCCTGCTGCATCACTAAGAAAGCCAGGCATTCTTCTTTATTCGGGCGTGGGGGGTGCAGCAGAGAGAGATAGAAATATGAATGTATGTTTCCCCTCTGACTTTTTCAATTGAAGTTTTCCCCCATGTTTATTATATCTGTTTTTATTTATTTGAAAGGCAGAACAGCACAGAGAAGGGAGACAGAAAGAGAGAGATCTTTCTGTGACTCACTCCCCAAATGCCAGTATTAGTCAGGTCTGAGCCATGTCCAAGCCAGGAGTGAACATCTCCATCTGGCCTCCAAGGACCCAAGTACCCGAGCCTTCATATGCTGTCTCCCATTAGCAGGAGCTGGATTGGAAGGTAGAACTCTAACCCAGGCACTCCAGAACGGGACATGGGTGCCCCAAGCAGCAGCTTCACCCACCACGCTGCACCTGCTACTTTTCTCTGACTTTGGAAAGGGAAGAGATCTGATTTAAGGGTTGCCGTGGGAAGATCGGGATGAGAGAAGACGCCTCACACTGAAGAATGAGTCACACTCCAGAAGGTAGATTTCTCCTTCCACCTGCTGTTCAGCGCATGCATGGTTGTCCTTTTCTCTGGTGTCCACCTGCTCTGCTGGTTGGTACTGGTGGCAGCTAGGTCTCTAAAGGCATGCCCTTTACTTGCAACACCCCCCTCCACACACACACACACACACACACACACACACACACACACACACACTTCTTGAGTTTCATTGGAAAGATTCAGAAGTTCTGGGGGACTGGTGCACACCCACATTGCAGAAGGTGGTGACAGGGTGAAACGCAGCCGGAGACAGCATCCGCCCACAGCTCCCTTGGCTCATCCGTCACACGACCAGGGTGATTCAACCAGTTCCCTAAAACCCTGTTGTGCCAGCCTTCTGTGATGTTGCCTTCCCTGGAATAAGGGCCACCTTGACCCTTAAGTAAACCGGGGAGGACTATGGAAACCTGATGAGACCAAACAGTTCTTTTCACATGGTCTGGAATAGGAGACTTTTGCTGCTAAGGCCAGCGGGCAAGACTGAGTCACTTGGATCGCCGTTACAGTGGTGCACGCTGTTGTCTGTAACAGCCATCTCTCTGAAAGTATCAGTGGGCATCAGCCCCGACAATATCACCTACCCTTTCACTATGGTTTGGTGATTGTGTCCCTCCAAAGTCCCTGTTGCAACCTAAGGCTTCCTGTGACAGTGTGGAGAGGCGGAGCCTGTGGGAGGTCATTAGAATGTGAGAATGAAGTTAGTGGGTGGAGTTTAAGCAGACTGATACACCTCTTCTGCCCTATAAGGATACAACATCCTTTGAAAACAATTTGGAGATTAGATGCTGTTGCTTTGCCCAAATTCTGAATAAATAATAACTATAAAAACGTGTGGTTAATTTAAATTAAATAAATAGGTTTACCATTTAATGTCCAAATCGAAATTGTGAAGATGTTTCAATTTTTTTACTTATTCATTATATTCATAAGAGAAATAAATATTTTTAAATATTTTTCCCAGAAATAAAATTTTCCCTGGAAGCCTAGAACAGCTCTGCCAGCTTGTGTCTAAGTCAGATGGAATTCCCAACAAAGATCCCGTCATACTCCATTTTCTCTTCTTTACCAATGGCTTTTTTTTTCCCCGTGACCCCTTGTGAGGCTGTTTAAGAGAGTTTGCTAATGGGCTACACTGGTCCATCCATTGCACCTGATTTGAGGCCTCACATCTAGCAGGCAGGGTTGATGGAGCTAACACTTCTGCACTTCAAATGTTAGGGACCATCTCCTACTCATCCTGAGAAAGTGGCTTGCTTTCCTGCGATAACTTTAAGGTTTTTTTAACTTATTATTATTATTATCATTTTATGATACAGTTCCATATTCCCTTATTCCCTCCCCAAATCCCTCCCCCCCACCTAGTTCCTCTATTTCATTACTAACTTATAGTTCTTCATACACAGTCATATGTGCATCATTGTGGGCATGGACAATGGCAGAGAGTCCAGCATCCTATTGTCAAGATATAGTCAACAGTTTCATTGTAAGTTCATCTTTTCTAGAAGCAGAAATGCATACTACACTGCATCATCACATCTGGATGTTGGTCTCCATTTCACAGCTACTGTACATCCCCTTAAATTAAAAGTGATGATACAAAATCAACAATAGAAAGAAAAATAGAAATTTACAATGCAATGAAGTTAAATGACATGTTACTAGATATGGCAGTCTCTATTACATCGCTACTATACATCCCCTTAAATGAAAAGCCACAAAACAAAATCAACATCAGGGAGAAAAAAGAAATGAACAACTCCAAGAAGTTAAATAACATGCTATTAAATGACTAAAGTGTAGCTGAAGAAATGAAAATCAAGAACCTTCTTGAAGAAAATGATGCCACTGCATGATCTACTAGTCATCGAATGATTTAATCAGAAGAAAGTGTTTTGAAGAGATGAAACTAACAGAAAGCAACAAAATCCATGCAATACAGTTTCCACTGGTTTTTGTCGAAGTGTGTCTCTTCTAGACAATAAATAGATGTTGTTTTGTTTTTTAATCCAGTCTACTAATCTATGACGTTTGATTGAGCTTAAGCCATTTTATTCAGAGTTTAATATGTATGGGTGGTACTTTGGTCCTATCATTTTAGGAATGGGTTGTTCATCAGTTTAGTCTTCTGTTGTCATTTTACTGGGATGTTCTTCCCGTTTGCCTTTGGTTTTGGTAGGTGCTATTCTTCTCTGACAAGAGAACATCTTGAAGTATCATTTGTAGGGCAGGTTTGGAAGAGGCAAATTCTTTTTTTTTTTAAAGATTTATTTTTATTATTATCTTTTTTTATTGGAAAGGTGGATATACAGAGAGGAGAGACAGAGAGGAAGATCTTCTGTCTGATGATTCACTCCCCAAGTGAGCACGACGGCCGATACTATGCCAATCCGAAGCCAGGAGCCTCTTCCGGGTCTCCCACGTGGGTGCAGGGTCCCAAAGCTTTGGGCCGTCCTCCACTGCCTTCCCGGGCCACAGGCAGGGAGCTGGAAGGGAAGCGGGGCTGCCAGGATAGAACCGGCGCCCATATGGGATCCTGGGCGTGCAAGGCGAGGACCTTAACCACTGCACCACCGCGCCGGGCCCAAGGCAAATTCTTTTAAACTCTTCTTTACTGTGGAAGAATTTTATTTCATTTTTAAAGACAAAAGAAAGCTTTGCTGGATATGTTATCCTAGGTCGACAATTTTTTTCTTTTAGA